GTGCTAATTAGAGATCAGGCCAAGCAGCGTGGCCCAGCCCACAGCCTCCCGCTGGCACAGCAACCCGCCAGTTAACAACCGCCGGGCCCTTTACGGCCAATCACAGGAGACGGAGACATTAACCGCGCGCTGCCCCCACGAGGAAGTGGTGCCAAACGCCGGCCGAGGAAGCCGGCATCTAATAGATCATCATACAGAGGAAAAGAGGTGAAGTGCCTCTTGCTCTTCCTCCTTAAGGAGTCACTCCATTACCTCTAACATTATTTATTTGAGACTTCTGTATTGGGTGAACTGAGCCTTTAAATCAGCAGGAGTGTGCAATTAAGACTGTGTGAGGTAGGTTTCCATTCACTCTCCCACTCTCTGTGAAGAGGACAGTGGTGGAGGAGGGAAAGTCAGGACATGCCAGAGAGAAACCTCTCCTCTCTCCAGGTCGCTTAGAGAGATTTCTGCTTTACCAGAGGGGTCAGAGATCAGAGGCCAAACCTCCAAACTTTCCTTAAAGAGAAGAGCAGAGAGGGGGGAGGCCAGGGGAGCAATACAGAAAAAGAGCTGCTTAGTGGGTCAGCCAATAGGAGTGACTGGTAGTGTCCTGAGAACGAGGCCGTGGTTGTGTTTGTTTAACTTCTCTTGTGTGTGTCCCTGGGGACTGCGGTTGGTTGGTCTCTTGATCGGCCCTGCAGTACTGTAAACCCCCCCCCCCCATCCTGAAAAACCCTGTTCGACTCTGGCACATGCACACAGGCTCCGTGCCGCAGAAATATACACACAGACATGCGGCCATAACAGAGCCGTGAAGCAGAAGTAAGGGGATTTCCTGTGTTTGAGGGGCCACGACCGGATCCTCACACTGAGTCTGGATCATACAACCCCAAATCTCTGTCTCTGTCCACACAGACAGACAGACAGACAGACAGACAGAACAGACCAGACAGACAGACAGACAGACAGACAGACAGGACAGACAGAACAGGAGAGAGGAAGAAGAGAAGCACTTTGACTTACAACCCTTCAGGGCTGGGGGGGGGGGGGGGGGGGGTTGCAGATGACACCATGGACACGTTGATAGGTGAGGTCTGCAGACACAACACCAGAACAGAGGAGCCAGTGTTGTGACTTCATCCCAAACATATCAGCTCCATCACAGACTTTATTCCTATCAGGAAATACCGTTTGCATAAAGGCACAACAAGTTTTTCTCAGTACAACATGACTGTTTATCAGTTTTCACTGGAATCACATCATGTTGACTAGGTGATTATACAGTATAGTTTTTTTTGATACAAGTGCTGATACAATATCTGATCAATACTCCTATTTCCTTATTCAATAAAGAAGCCTGGTCTAAACACAAGCAGCTGTACAAGAACTTTCCCTGATTAAAATAAAAGTCCACAATTGAAACAATTTAGAAAATATCTGAACAAACTATGTGTAAATGAGATGTTATTGTTTCACCGAACTGAATGAAAGATTGCAAACTCTATAAAAGTGAAGGCGGTTGGTTGTGATATTGATTTCAACCATAACATTCACTCAGTATAATCATATACGAGTCACATTCTTCACTGTGCTATCTGCTTGTCACTGTCAATGAATAAAATGTGTTTTTTTATTTTCTATTTTCTTGTGTTTATCTTAAAATCACTTTCTTCTCATCACTCTTATATTCTGCTATTTAACGTCCAGCAGGTAATATAACTATTCAACCACACTACACAGTCAGACCAATAACAGACACAGAGAGAAATGCCATTACGCGGTTAAAAACGCAAACGAGGCTCCAGGCAGTGGAAATGTAAAACAGAAATATGACAAAACAAAACAAAGAACAGGACAGCAGGTGTTTCTCCATGTTCCAGACAAACGTTATGATTTCTCACATCAGCATCTGAACTTGAAGCTGCTCTTTGTCTCCGGGTTCAGAGAAAAGTTATTTAGATGTTTGAAGGTTTATTAATACAGGCAGGCTCTTGGCTGCTTAGATCTGAAGTATGATATCATCACCTGTACTGGACTGATTAAATGCCATGTTTTTGATATTATTCTCTTAAACTGTTTATTTTCCGCAACTGAAAAATAGGAAAATGTTGGAAACTGAAGAAGCAGTGTTATTGCTTCTACAAGACTGCAGCCAAAAACACCTAAAACCTGCTTATAAAAGTTTATTTTC